GAAGCGAGTGAACAACTGGTGACAAAATGAGGGTTTTTCAGTAGGGTTTTGTGCGATTGGGGTTTTGTTATTGGGAAGCTTGGTTGATGTCTCTGTTGCTTCGATTCACGAGTACAAGAACAATGGGTTTGCCAAAGTCGGCAACGGTGGCTATTTCCTTGGTGGTACTGAAGGTGTTTACGGTTCTAAAGGAAGTTCCTTTATCACGTCTTTTTTTTTCTTCTCTTTGTTCTTTTTTGGTTTTGTGAACACTGCTTCTTAGAGCTTTACTCGTGCATTTGTTGATGGGCTGGTTTGGTTGAGTAAGGGTTTGATGTGACTTGAATTTTAGAGTGCTTTGGCTGGATAAGAAAACTTTTTAATTGAGTGATTTGTTGTAGCGTTGCTTTGGATGTTGCAAATTTCATGGTAAATATACTAAAGACGAGTTTTTTGATTTGGTGCAGTGCTTTCTAGAGCTATGCTCGTGCATTTGTAGATGGGTTTTGGCATATATTAATTATGCTTCATTCCTGGTTTCCATCACATGCTTTAGTTCCCTGTTTTTCTTTGTCTTTACTTTTTACATGTATTTGAAGCATTTCTTGCTGAGAAATCTTGTAAACTTGTATAATCTCCGTCAGATTAATTCTAAGCTTAATTAAGTGGTTGGTCAAGGAGTTGGTGGCTAATGCACCACTTGGAGAAGAATGTTTTGTCTGATAACCTCTGTAGCTAACAGGCCAATCTTTTTTTTTGTTAGGTTTGATAATGTAACCTTTGTGAGGACTAAGGAATNTGCTAGCAAGCAGAGTTCAATTCTGGCATCTGCAGGATTAGTGGAAGCATTTCTGTTTGAGATGAACAAAAGTGACAAAATTGAAGAATCTTTTCTTAAAGCTGATGGCTTATGTTGTACACCAGAACTTGCGGATGCTGGATCCTGCAAATTGGGAGAAGTTATAGTTAAGAAAGACATCAATGATTCTGAATGGCCTAAACAGATTTCGACATTCTTTAAAGGGAGTAATGAAGAAGTTGAAATGTCTCCAGAGGTTTGTGGTCATCAATAAAACTGGAACTTATGCTCTTTATTTCGTGATATGCGATCCAGAACTGGATGGTACCATAATCAGAGGAAGAACGGTTTGGAAGAACCAAGGAGGTTATTTACCAGGAAAGATGACTCCTTTGATGAGGTTTTATGGGATCATGTCCATAGCTTATCTTTTGCTTGGCCTAGTTTGGTTTCTACAGTTTGTTCTGTATTGGAAAGATGGACTCCAACATCTGCACTATCACATAGCCTTGGTAATTGCTCTTGGCATGTGTGAAATGGCTTCACGGTATCTTGAACTCAGTAACCTCAACTTAACTGGTAAGATTAATATGGTTATTACTTTTTGGGTTGTCACCTTCTATTCTGTGAAGAATGCTCTTTCCCGGCTTCTTCTTTTAGTCATCACTACGGGATACGGTGTAGTGAATCCTACACTTTAAGATGCTTACCAGTTGAAGATGCTTCTTCTCGGTGCCATTTACTTTGTTGCACGAGAAACTCTTGGGTTGGTAGAACATTTTGGAAACATCAATTTCATGTATGGAAATGGAATGACATTTCTGATGCTCTCGGTGGCTATACTAGAAGTTTTCTTCCTCCGGTGGATCTTCTGGTCCTTGAGGAAAACTCTTGAGAAACTCAAGGTGAGGACAAACTTACAATAATTTTTTCCATTTAGTTAGTCATATATAGTAGATTAGTAACTTATCTTCTGAAAATATTCAGGCCCTGTTCAACTTTATCATCCCATCTATTTTTCTTTCTTTTGTAGATGAAGAGTAACATGATCAAGCTACAGCTCTATAGAAAGTTTGCAAATGCACTAGTGATCTCGGCGTTGCTCTCCACGGCTTGGATATGGGTGGAGGTAAAAGGTTTCATAGTCCAATGAAAACTCTGTGGAAAAAGAGTGTATACTTGAGATGATAATCTTTTTGTTTAATTTATGAATATCATTAAGTATATTTCATTGACCCTCAAAATGAGATTTGGCAAGTAGGGTGGATCGTTCCAGCGTTTTGGTATATAGTTGCATATGTTCTATTGGTAATCATATGTCTATTCTGGTCTCCATCGAATGACCTTACTAGGTACTAACCTCCTCACTCTTCCTTAGCCCTTTTTATATCTAAACTTTCCAGTTCTGAAACTTGTGTATTGGCCTCTATAGTTTTGAACATATGCCTAACTTACTGACCCTCGAATTGCAGATATCTATATGTAGCAGAGGCGGTGGACGAGATTGAAGAAGAAGGCATCGCATTGACGGGAATGAAGACTATGGAGAAGAATGACATGATGGGGAATTATGTTGATGAAGTGATTCACATGTTGGAGAATTTTTCAGGGGAGACATGAATTTTTCCATCCTCCAGAAATACAATTATCTCTTGGTGTCTTATTTTAAAACTATAATCTTGTTTGAGATTAGCGTACATCTAAACAGATTCAGTGTCATGAAGTTGTTGTTGGTAAGTAGTGAGACAAATGAAATAATATTTTGGGCTAAAGAAACTCTTTGAAAGTTGTAAATCATCCAACTCCAGCTGCAATTTCTTTCTTGCATCCCTAGGTGATTATTTATTTCCAGAGTATATTAACCTCTTGCAGCTACGTGAACTAATGTCCTTTCAAATGGCTATTACCACTTACTCGAGGGTCTAACCTCCAAAGGTCTTAATAAAGATCAACACAACTTTTTGAAAGAAAAGAGAATGATTATATAGATTGTATAGATACAAAGTACCGCTCAACATTCTGTTAATGAGTTGAATATCACTTCCATCATATGGGGAGGGGAAATGAGACGCATCGTTCCATCATACAAGCTTGGAGAGCCATGTCGGGTAGTCGCACGGAAAGATGGTAGATCCTGCAAAAGTTACATGCCATGAAGGTATTCGGGAGGACGAGATGGGGTTTCCTTCCGAAAGACTCTTTAACGTTCAAGCCAATCCATCGTACAAAAGAGGATTTAACTTGGAGGTAAGTGTGGGTTTAGTTTAGTGCCATTTACGAGGATCATAAGCACCATCTAGCATTTCAGATCAAAGTGAGGCGAATAGAAAGATGTTTTTAGGGAGATTGGAATTGGACCTCTCTCCCAAAATAAGCTTACCCGAGTTGGATCCTAAGAGGCGATTATGGTTTACTTAACTTAATTTCGAAATTAGCTAAACCAAATTTATTTTGTAAAGAGATAAACAAGTTCATGTAGTTTTATGATCAATTCAAATTGTTTGTGTAGCAAAACAAAGAGGTAAAAGTCCAGGGAAAAATCTAACTAGCTCCACTTCTAGAGGGAGAAATACGCATATATATTTATCGAATTTCTAAAACGTGATTTTGGTTTACTAAACCGTGGTTACGATATAGTTAACAAATTAACTTAACCAATTTCATTTGCTGAATTTCAGATTGATAATTAGTTCGTATTTTTTTTTTTTTTGGTTTACAAAATTTGTGTAGAAAATTGAAGAGAAAAAAGTTTGGGAGCAATCTTTTTTGATGTTTTATTATCATTTTTTTGAACTAAACTTGAATCTGAACAAAAATATATCTCGTTTCTCAAATCAAAGTTTTTGAGACACACTGTTTCTATTCTATATCTATGGACCTTCTTTGATCACAACATCGATACTCAAAAATCGTTCTTTGCAAACTTCTGTAGCCAACCCCAAAACAGAGAGCTACACTGAATTTTCTTTTAAAAAATTATGTACCAGAAAGCTGATAGTTAACTCATAACCGTGTAAAATCACAGAGATGTTGAATACAGCTCTACCATTTACATCCAACAGTCAACCAAACGCAATTGAAAACGTTCTACCCGAGTAAAAGAAACTCGGCAGTGAATAACAACATTGTTGCATGGAGAACTTTTACTAGCACCAACCTCCTTTAGGTAGAATCGGGAACGGCATAGACAGAGCAATATAATGTATATATGTAGAGCTCAACTTTGAAATGATAGAGATAATGAAGTTGATATAAACATTTTACGTTAAAACAAATCAATTAGCTTAGTGCTGCAAACTGTTATCATTTTGATAGCTGTGATTTTGTTATACAAAAAGAGTGCATTTAACTTTATATTTAGTAAAAAACTATAAAATCGTTGAAAGTAAAGTACTAAAAACAAGTTAACAACCTAACCATATTGTACACGACACACCACATTTGAAGCCTAAGGGATTCCAAAGCCATATATACTCACTATTTGGACATTCACTACAAGAAAACAGCCACTATTCCGACGGAAATTCCGACGGCCAATATTTCCGTCGGAATTTTCCGACGGCTTACCGACGGATTTC